CTATAAACCATAAAATTTATATTTATAATATTAATTTATATATATATTTATATAAACCATAAAGTTTCCACCCGCGCCCAAGTAAAATTTTTCGGTCTCAATATGATAATAATAATGTAGATTGTCATGTCGGCCAATGGGTTAATTCCTAACAGCCTCGACAACCACTATAGGAGGCTGGCGTTAGGCGGATGGGTCAAAGGCTTGATACAGGAGGCAGTTCTCCTTGAAACGGTGCGCATCGTGAGAAAGTTTCGGTCTCTGGAGCCCTATAACCATCGGTAGCTTGGACCATGCTAGCGGGAGCTAGTGGGCGGCTCCTATTTTTATATTTTTAAATATATTTTTTCTGGTTTTTAAGTAGTATTTTATGAATTTAGATTAATTGGTTAATATGAAGGAACAACTACCTTAAGTTAACTTTTCAGGATATAAAGATGAGAATGGGCTATATATTAGTATCGTAATCTCGCGAGAAAAACGTTCTTGAACTCCTCGCGTGTAACACGTGCAATATATGTACCTCTATACATATTTACAACATTTATCTTGTGGGTATCCGACCTTCAATTCATACATATAGTTGCTTAGATAACTACTGAACTTAGATATGTACCTACTCGTGTGCCATATTTCGGCAGGGCCGAAATGACCAGTACACAGAGGCCTAGGGGCCCCGTGTTGACTAGGGCCCCATGTATATGTATAATATAATTATATTCGTGACTTGGCATTACTGCTAAGGGGTCTAACCGGTTTGAACGGACTGACTGGTTGGCGATTATCGGCCAGACCAGAAGCAAGATTAGAGTAAAATCTAGAACAGATATCCGCGCATGATCAGATTTACTGGAACCGAGCCAGTTTTTAAAGTATCTTATCTCCTACCTACGCACGGATCTTCTAAAAGTCCATACCTATTTTAAAAGTATTTTGTTTTTTTTTCTTTATTTCGTACAGTTCATTTTATCACTTTTGACTTATTTAATTTAAAATAACCGAGTCACGTTTCAGTTCTGCTATTGTTTCATGTAATTAGACAAAAAAAAACAAATATGTAGGATGAAAACTTATGATGTCATTCATACCTCAGTTGGAAATTGTCAATTAGAACCGGGATAAAAAGCAAAGATTTAAGCAATGCACAATTTTTTAATGGGCCCCGAGAAATGCATTGACGGGGCTAATCTGGCTCTGTATTTTGAGTACGTTATTAATATTTTTTTTCTTTAAAAAACGTTTTCTATGATTTTCTCCTGTGTCGTGGGTGCGTTTACAAACGTACAAGTTCACATACACAATGACACCCAGACCCGGAACAACTTTCGGATTCTAAACAATAGTCTGATAGCTTATTGTTGTTGTTATAATATAAGAGTAATAGGTAGTTAATTACGAACAAAATACCAACTCGATTTATATTATTTGCAGCGTTGGGGATTCAGAGGAGTACAAGTTTTCAGACTCTGCCCCATGTTATTACTGAGAATTTTATCTCAAACTAGCTTCTGCCTGGGAATCGAACCAGAGACCCCTTGCCCGGCAGTCGCACTTGGGACCACTCGGCCAACGAGGCAGTCGTGTTAAGTTACTATAAAAGTAAACAATAGGTATAATACTTTAAAGGCCAAACGCATAAAAACTACTTGAGACCACACTACAATTTGATCAGAAAAAAAAAACAAATAATTACAATGCCATCAAGTATCAGAAGTAATTCCCCTTTTCTCAAAATTGTATTTTTTGATACTTACTTGGTACAATGCGATACGGGAAAAATACTACATCTATCTATCTATATATATAACAACTAGCGACCCGCCCCGGCTTCGCACGGGTGCAATATGTATATACATACAAACCTTCCTTAAGAATCACTCTATCTACCTATTAAAAAAAACCGCATCAAAATCCGTTGCGTAGTTTTAAAGATCTAAGCATACATACGGACATACAGCGAAAGCGACTTTGTTTTATACTATGTATTGATGAAACCCGTTTCCCGTTGTCATGCCATAACTTGAGAACGGCTAGACCGATTTGGCTGATTTTTGTTGTGTTTGTTATTGTCAGGAGAAGGTCCTTACGACAGAAAAAATCCTACGGGAACCAGAGAAAAAGGGAATGCGCGTACGAAGTCGCGGGCAGAAGCTAGTACATAAATAAATATTAACATTTTGTACAGTACTAAGACTTGGTAAAGTTGTTTTTTTTTTAAGTTTAGTTGTTACCTACTATACCGCGGAATCTGGGGCCATATACGGTGACCAGCATCTCAACCTATCCTGTTCTTTCATACATCTCTATTACATCTTCAACTTTATTGTATTGATTGACACACAGTCGAAAATCCAATGAAAAATTTGACAGATTGGAGTACATTTATCTACTGAGCAGGGATTTGAGCTGTAGATTTGGAATTATTCGTCAATTATTGTGTCTAGCCCATTTTTTTTTTTTGGGGGACAATCATCGAATGTCTACTCCTGCCTGGGTGAGGCGGGAGGGAGTGTCAGACTCTTACTGACTAAACACAACCACGTTCCTACACCTCCACTTCGAGCCGGAGCCCCGGTAACCCGTTAGGTTCTCCGCGACGTGTATTGCCCATACATTGAATTTTTATTCGACTCGCGCTTTAGTCATTTGTTTGAAACGACAGTAGCTACTTCGAACTAAGTATATAATGTGTCAAATGTAATTTTCAACTTTATTACAAAACAGTTAGGTTGATAATTTAATAATTTTGAAAGGTTGATCGAAATCTAGATGTATTTATTTATTGCAAAATGTATATACATAGTGGTATTATACTACTAGTACAGTACATCACCCTGTTAGGGCGCAGCAATTTAACTTATAAATAATAACTAAATAATCATCTAATATATTATGTACTTATTCTATTCATTATTAACTTAATTACTCACTATAAACTTATTACTATTAAAATTTCTTATAAGCTTAGTATAGGACCGAAAACTAGGAAGACTTGCCCCTCATAGCTCGCATTCTTATGAACTTTGACATTAATAACACAATGAGTGAAAATTTAGTGTTTTTTAAATCTTTATTTTATAATTAGGGTTGTTCCTAAGAGAATAACGTCAGCTCCATTATAGAATACAAAATTCAGTGCATACTACAATGAAATAGGTAGCTAAACCATTTAGGTTTGGCTTGCCCTTAAACTTAACCCGTCGTGTGCAGGAACGCAGATCCTCGCGAGACCATGAACGTATCCCCCACAATGTATTTTCTATTGTGTCTTATATACCGGCAGTCAAGAGGCTAAACATAAAATAGTTAAATGCTACAATGTTCTAACCTCAGATGACAATGGTGACGCTAAAAAACTATGATAAAAACCATGTATCAAATTATTCAACCTACCCGTTCAAATAAAAAAGATTGTTACGATAAATATCAAAATAAAAAAGACTGCCTCGTTGGCCGAATGGTCGTAAGTGCGACTGCCGGGCAAGGGGTCTCGGGTTCGATTCCTGGGTCGGGCAAAGTATTACTGGGTTTTTAAATACTCCCAGTAGTAGCACGGAGTCTGGAATTGTGCCCGGTATATGGCAATAGGCTCACCCCCTCCCCCTATTACATGGGACTCATAACATGAATAGTGAAAAGTGGTTATTACGTTCTACAGTGGTATAATGTGCACTTCTGCCTACCCCTTCGCGGATAAAAGGCGTGATGTTATGTTAAGATCAAATCTACCTGTTCAAAGAAAACGTTCTGTTGACTGTTACGAACAAATAAGGAAAACACAATATTTTGAACTGTATTCTAGTGAATCTACAATAAAATTAAGAGCAATATTCTTAGAACAGGTTTACTCATTGGTTAATACCAAAACAATAATAAGAGAGATAATAAAGTTAACAAGATACGTGTCTTTATTTCCGAGATACAATCACAAACAGGGGCCAACGATGGCACCAATATTGTTAAACTAACAATTCCAGTTATCATCAATCTCTCGTAACTTTTAAGGAACCCTTAAGGTAAGAAGATAGATGACACCAACCTATAAGTGACACCTAATAATACAATTATTCAAGTAAAGGGTTTGTTTAGGTGGTATGTCACATTAAGAAACTCTTAGTGAAGAGCTGGTTTAGGGGTATTTAGTAAAAACGACTATTAAGATCTATTTTATTATGTTTAGTTAACTTTATATTAGCTTACCTGACATAATGATATATTCAAACCATTCTATACCTACTAATATTATAAAGCTGAATTTGTTTGTTTGTTTGAACGCGCTTATCTCCGAAACTACCAGTCCGATTTCAATAATTATTTTTGTGTTGGATAGTACATTTATCGAGGAAGGTTATAGGCTACAAAACATCACACTGCGATCATTAGATGCCGAGTAGAGGGGGTGCAACCGCGCGGAAGTACCTAGTTTCCTATAAAAATACGTAGAATTACCCGACATTTGGTTAATATAGTATCTTATTCACATATTGCAAGTCTTAGTCTTACAGGAAATTTAACATTAGACGTATTTTCTGTCTACCTGCATGACGTTTTTTTTCTCATGTAGGTAGGTAGGTAAAGTAGGTTACAAAAATTGAGTTCAAATATTACACAAAGCCACTGTAAAATATATATATTTTATACTAATATAGAGGTACAGTGACATACAGAACAACGATATCTAAAAGAATATAACATATTTAAATTACAACACTATACATAAAAAATTTGCCAACCCGCATTGAGCAAGCGTGGTGATTCAAATCAATCAAACCTTCTCAGTGTGAGAAGGTAGGCCTTTGGTCAGCAGTGGCCACTTATACGCTGATGATGGATCAAAAATACGAGTAAAATAATTCTTACCTATTATATAACCGGCGGTTAATGAAGTCATTGATTTTATACATTAAAGATGACGCCATTGTTAAATTGGTTATACGGCGTCTTAAAAAATAGGCGATCAAAGTTGGCGGAGAGGTTAGACCCAACTTAAGAACGTCAGCGCATCACGATAGTGTCCGAGTTATATTATAGACGGTAGATGAATAAAAGTCAGTAGTGTCCGATCTGTCAAACTGCTAACATGGACAAGCTAATCCTTATATTGGGTACGTACTGTTGAATAATACACGGTAATTTTAAGAAGATAATTTAAATTCTTACCCTATTTTTATTTAGTTTGTTTTTTTGTTTCATATTACCCGAAGTGTTTTTTTTTTTGCGGGTACCCGAGTTTAAAATTATAAATATTTTTTTTAATTGACGGTGGTTATAAATGGTATTGCAATATAGCAATTATAATTTATTCATATCGAATCTTAAATATTAATATCTAAAAAACATAATTGAATCTGTGAAGTATTATTAATAGATCTCGCCTATAATACCTACAATTATTTCTTCGGTTTATTTTTTGCTTTAATTAATTTTATGGACAAAGTTTTTATGTCCCCATCTAGATACCTACACATTTAATTTTTATTAGTATAGGTATTGGCATTATTAATTTATTTTTAAAACCAATCGGTAATTGTACTGAAATTTGGAATAATTAAACTGTCAAACACCAAGCGGTCACCGGTGACCGCAACCTATTGTTCTATAATTGTGTCTGCAAAACCGGTATTCGACGAGTTAAATAGATTTAATAATATATTTGTTATTCTAAAAAACTGGACTTATTTTAAAATGCAATAGAAAAATTACTTAATGATAAAAACTAGATATGGAGAGCTATTTTCATCCTACACCCTGCTACGTTTTAAAATGGATTTATGGATGTATTTCGTTATATTTTAATAATAACAGTAAATATTTAGAACAATCAATACTAATTTGACGAAATAGAATTTATATTATAAAACAAAAATGTCAGGGGTAGACAAAGAAGTTACAAAAACGTAAAAAATATGACAAAATTTAATTAAAAAATTAAAGTTTAAAAACGTTACGAATGACACATACTCTCCTGAAGCGATTTCAGCATTGTCGGGCACCATTTTTGAATATAATTTCAACTAAAGATATCAACTTGAACCGAACGGAACCGTCACACTCGCGAATAACGCACAAACTAAAATTGTAGACTGACCGACATAATTTTTACATCAATAATGTCACATAAAAAATTCGTTTTTATACTTTCTTAGATTCTATGTACCTTGAACCTTTAATTCGGGATGCCGTGAAATTGTGGCGTCTAGGTAATAACTTCATTCTTGATGAAATTCGCCGATTAACGCCATGAGCAAACATTTTCTTTTTTTTTTGACGTAGCGTTACGTAGGTAAAGAACTATTTCTGCACTGCGGACTTAGTAACCTCCCGAAGAATATATACCGAGGTAACGTAAAAGGACGATGATAAATACTCACCGGAACATAGCTTTGAAATCAGGAAAATTAAGTAAACTGAGTGGATCGTTTACGTCCATTTTTGTTATAAACACAAATTATTCTCTTAATTCTAATTACACAATAGCCTTAGAGACGTTGCTTGAGTTAGAAAATAATGACAGAACATTACCTATATAAAATTAAAACAACTTTTACCCTCATAAACCAAAATCAAATAGAACTGACTACAAATAGATATTTTTTACATAGATAACACCGAAAAATCGTTTGTCATAATAACATAATACCTCCGTTTAACTTTACGCCTTGGAATACTTCCAGTAGTAGACAGATAGGAACATAATTTTAAGTATAGTAGAGCCATGCTTCGACAAGAATGGGCCGGCTTGGCCGAAGCGATACCACGACCTCACAGAAAACCGACGTGAAACAGTACTTGCGTTGTGTTTCGTCGTGTGAGTGAGGTTATTGGAGGCATAATTACCCCTTCCCCAGTCTCCCCAATTCCCGAATCCCCCACAATCCGGTCGAGCACTTGTAACACCCCAGGTGTTTCAGGAGTCCATGGGGGGCGCCAATTGCTAACCATCAGGTGATACGTTTGTTCCTTTACCGGCTTCTCCCAAAAATAAATGCAGCACCGGTTTCGCCATATTCAATCAGTTTTATTGTAACTAACTCGTATGTATCATTTAGTGAGCCTATTGCAAATTTTTAGCCATGATTGCGACACAGTACATTATCATAAACTAGGGACCCAAAAAAAATGCTCAGACCGGAATATTATAAACTAATTTAGGTAAAATAATAAACAGCTAAGTATCGATAAATGAATACATACTCAGATTTAGTTCTGCGTCCCACTCCCATCAGTAACCTCTGATCCCGATAGTCCGTCAACGAAATAATTGGCGGTTGCACCTCATAATTAAAATTTCTATAAACATCCATTATTATTGTTATCGAGACTTGTATTTTAAGTGTAAGAACGTAAACGACGATGTTTAGCAAGGAATATTATCGGACTACTGTTTGCGACACCAGATAACTACCTATTGCTTATTTTGCAGACTGATATAGTTATCTCAATGTACATTCGAGTGATAGTCGACACCTACGTTACTAGGCCATTACTGCAGATACTAAATATATTAATTTAACCTCTTGTCTGTCGATACACGAGACACAATAGAAAATGCATTGTGTCTCGAATCGATCTACGCTCCGACATACCACAGTTTAATTCGTAGGTGCTTAACTGAATAATTCGGAATTTCTCAAAAAGTACAGGTTCTGCAACTTTCTCATGGGATGCAGGATACCAAGGTTTTTTTTAATCTTAGGTAGATACTAACTAACATTTTGTCAAAATATGATTACCTATCCATTATCTACGTTTAAAAAACCGACTTCAACGCCCTCTATTTTTTAAGTCGATTAATTAATATACCAAATCCTTCTCCTAAGTGTAACAAACACTTTTCTGAAAACCGCGTCAAAATCGGTTCAGCCAATCGAGAGATAATCGCACACAAACAAACATACATACATACATACAAACGTACAGGAAAAAATGAGAACCTCCTTTTTTGAAGTCGGTTAATAACTGGCTGATTAATGATTAAACGTCATTGACCGATTATGTATCTGATTGATTAATTTTTAAAAGTAATGTGTCATAAATTGTTGCCAGTATTAAAATTAAATTATTAAACGATTTGTTTAATTTTTTTTTGCATACATAACATCTAGGCTTTTAATCCCCGAACGGCCTACCTGTACCTACAATATTATTTATTTTATTTATTTATTTTCTTCTTCACAAATACATAAGTGAATGGCGGACTTAATGCCTTAAGGCATTCTCTTACAGTCAACCATAGGGAAGTGCAGAGAAATGAAGTGGTTGATGCGAAGCCAGAACACAATTGAGAAAATAAAAAAGAGTTATGTAATATGTATACTACACACATAAATAACCTATAGAATAAATATATTAATACAATATTTTATAAATCAGTATAGGACATATACATACCATATAATACATACTACTAAACAAATACTTATACTATATATTATTATATTATATTATAATATTATTATATTATGTAGTAAAACAAAGGTATTTTTGTTAAAAAATGTATTGTACCTAATGTTGCATACTTGCTTAGGGTTCATGATACACTAAATTAGTCTACTAGCTAGCGCGAGTACTCAGCTGAAGTCCCTCGTAGCAATTTTTTAAGTACAAAATTATCAACTATTTTCGTCGATATTACAAAACGATTAGAGTTCTTAAGAAAATCCATTAAATAACAAATACCTAGATGTAGCTTGACGTCTTCTTTAACTATGTGCTACCTTACTCTAAGTACCTATTACTTACAATATTGATACCTAAATAGGTAACGACAAAAAAAACGATTTTAGTCGGCAAACAACCATAAGCAAGTTTCTGTCCACTTTGACATTTAAACAGTGCATAAAAAATATATTTATTTTCCTCTTTTTACAATAAAATACCTACATCTCAGAATACCTCGCATTTGATTATAAGTTATTAGAAGTGTAGAAGAGCCATGCTTGACTGCCTCACTCGACATGCTTTTTAGACTGCCTCGTTGGCCGAGTGGTCGCAAGTGCGACTGACGGGCAAGGGGTCTCGGGTTCGATTCCCAGGTCGGGCAAAGTATTACTGGGTTTTTGAAAAATTCTCAGTAGTAGCACGTAGTCTGGAAATGTGCTCGGTATATGGCAATAGGCTCACCCCTAGTATAAATAGTGGAAAGTGGGTGTTACTTCTGAGTGCACCTCTGCCTACCCCTTCGGGGATAAAAGGCGTGATGTTTTATGATGAGAGCCATGCTTCGGCACGAATGGGCCGGCTCGACCGGAGTGAAACAACGCTTGCGTTGTGTTTCGTCTTGTGAGTGAGGTTTCCGCAGGCCCAATTACCCCCCTCCTAGTCCTAGTCTCCCAAATCCTCCACAATCCTCAAATCCCCAATTCCCAAAAGGCCGGTAACCCACTTATGTATCGCCTTGGTGTTTCGGGTGTCCATGGACGGCGCCGATTGCTTACCATCAGGTGATCCGTCTACTCGTTTACCGGATTATGCTTTAAAAAAAATTAGTCTGATAGCTCCAATCAAATTTAAGTGTGACCTCCCTCGTCCTGATATAATAGGTTATAATAATTACGATAGAAGTTTTGCATATAACTTCATATTTTTATTTTATGTTGTTGTTAATATAATATGTTTATATTGTTGCCATGTCCTATTCCATTTCAAGGTCACTATAGCCGGTTGTCGCAATTATTCGATCATAATTTTATCTTATAGTTATTAGTTTGTAGGAGGATGTGTAAACATTATTATTTATATATGTTTGCGTTAAAAATGGTGGTATGAGTAGACTGGTAAAGTCCACAATACTTACTGCTTAGTTATATATTAGATTGTAATCTATTGCACACGACTTTATACCTCCACTAGTCTACACGCAAAGAGGAAAACAATTTTGCTTTTTTCCGCTTCTGTGAAAATCCTCTCTTGGATAAGTAATAAGTCACCTTGGTGCTTTATTATACTCCTCAAGAAGATTTCTAAGATTACCATTATTGCCAATAACCATTATAATCAGTAGAAAAAAAATTCAACTAAAAATATCATAAGAGAGCCGCCGGCCGGGCCAAAGGCAAGTCAGCAAAGCAATTTGGCAAAAACAAATAACAAATCATTATAAAAAATCACGTGTTTGGAAACCTAAACATAGATAGCACTATACATTATCTACCTAATTAGCATACCTACTTATACATATCACAGTATAGGTGTTCATGCAGGTCAAATTGATAAACTTAATTTATGAAGTTGGTTAAAACACGTATAACACTGCTTTGTCGATCACCGGTGACGGGAGGCGCGGGGGTTGGCGAAGGAATTGCCTTCAACAGTTTTCTCTCGGCTGCCCGGCAGGCAAACATTCTAAACGAAATAGCTAGCATACTGATAAATATCAAACCTTTAAGAAAAGAGCATATTCCTTTTTAAATGGCCAGCATTGCATCTGTGACTCCTCTGGTCAGGTGATCCGTATGCTCGTTTGCCTCCTAATCTACAAAAAAAATATCTCGGTTCCAAATATACACGTGAATACTTCCTCACGTATCTTAATCAGTTTTGCAAACATCTAATTGGACGATATTACAAACAAATCCATGTTCAGTTCAGTACCTAACTTGATCCAAGTGGCCTTTAAAGAAATATTGTTCCCGGAAAAGTAAACTTTCCAATAATAACGGACTTTTCAAATAATTCCAGTAATTTTAAATCCTAGAAACAAACAATACAATTGCTGTTTACGATGTTCGTGTATACATACACGAATATATTTAGTAGCATGCCTAGTAACATAATTCACACCTTCTTTTGTTCAGTCAATTTGTAAAAAACCGCGGGGAAACCTGCCGTACTATAACTATGATTGATTGCAAACAACAGCTCACGTGCTGGTGATGTCATTGTTCTTGTAAAACTATTAATAGTGGGAGTTTCCAATCACATAATGTTTGTTATTGTCCAATGTCCATAAACACAGGAAATAGTGGACTAAGGACATTTCCCTCCCGATTTAGGATAATTCTACTGCAATATTTGACAGGAATTTAAACAATTCAGTCTTTAAAATTGTTAAACTATGCTATCGCAGACATTGAGTTTTTATTATACTTAGATTCTTTTCGTTTTGGTCTAATATGGCATTTAGTTTCATCTGAATACGGGGTTGTTTTACGAGTACGCGTTCGGTGCTCTGATTGGTCGGCGCCAATGAAGCAACCAATGAGAGCGCCGAATGCGTACTCGTTACGATTGCTTTAATTTAACAAAAACAAATTCGTAGTAAGGCCTCAGATGATTTACGCATAGCCATCGAGATGTCATATAGGATAAAACGTCGATGCGCACAGCCTAATTACAGTATTTCAAATTCAAATAATAATAGGTAAATGTCATCTCTAGATTTTTAACCTCCTAGGATAATTCACGTAAGTTTTTTTCCAATCCAATTAATACTATGTAACGATGATGACCTAAAAATCACAATCAAGTTTTTAATTTTAAATAAAGACCTACATTAAAATAATCATGTTACACGAATGAAACCTTGACAGTGAAAAAAAAGGTCACGGCGATAATTTAAATATAAATAATAAAATTAACAGACAAGACACGATTTAAGATAAAGAGGCTCTGGTTAACGATAGTACCTAGGTGCCTACTATTTATTATTAGTTTGTTCATCGAAAACACCAAACAGATAAACAAAAGTATGATTACACGTGAAATATTTTAAAACATGTGAATGTATCGTGATTCCCTTCTCTTGTGAGCGTTTTAAACATAACCGAAATGTTTAATTTTGTAGGAATTTTCTAATGTAGTTAATCTAGCTAAATAAGATGAATGTGTAGATCTTATAGCTCACTAATATATTCGATACTTTTTTCCTCATAATAAGTAATATGATGATGAAAAGGATAACAACAACGAGTATTCTTATCTTATAATGTAACTTTTGACTCTCAGTATATTTTGTATAGGAAATCGTACTATCCTAGCCGTCAATAGAAGTCAGTATGGATTTTCTCTTGATATAACTATTATATAAAGCTGAAATGACAATGACCAAATTTGTATGGAGCGTGGTGCCTTTTCATTTTTTCGCGGCAGTTGATCGGATGTGGAAAAACTGATGCAGAATAACATTACAAACAAAAAAATATATGGGGTCTTATATCAAAAACACAGTCCAAATCGAGTTAAATCAGTTCAAAGATTTGAAAATAGTGCTATATTATCCCTGTGATTTTGTTGATGGTGACCGTACACAACGCATATTTCTTGTCAGAAATATTTTGTAATAAATGTTTATAATGATTTCAAGGAATATAATAAAGCTAATCATGGACTTTTTTACTTATTCTTTTGTTTTTTTTTTTTTTTTTTTTTAAGGCCAAGGAATCAGAACAGAGTGAACCATTAACTGACCACTGCTGAAGAAAAAGTAACATTTCGCTTGATTGGCTAGCGTGTTCAATTTATATGTATACGGTTTATGGCCTATGACAGGTTTTCATGATCAATTTCCTCTCAGTCAAAAACCCGCAAAATACTTTACTGAGCCCTATCATGAAATGCTATGTTTGTCAGCTGCGGCGTCGGTAGCGGATTGAATAGCGCTGATCACTTTAAAAGTCGACGGTTTTCTTTTTTTTTTCAAAAGATTATGCTAACTATTAAGTAGATGAGCGTCCCACCAGGAGTTAGTGGCAAAAAAAAAATATACTTTATTAGATGTTTGGACGGCTACCACTACTCAACCCACCACTGGTACTACAGCTGACGCTCATGAAGCTTCATTACACAACTCCTAGAAGCATCCCACAAGATATCGACTGAGAGAAAATAGGTACTAAAAATTAGAGCCTGGCAAAATTAATATATTGTGGTGTGATATGGTTTTCCTGTGCCCGGAGTACAGTGGCGCGCAATTTGAAGTTAGAAATTGTGACAAAACTATGAATAATTTGAATAAAAAACCGAAGTAAAATGTTCGACTCCAGCTCCTTTCAACGCTCATAACTCAGTCCAGACTGAGATTTCCATATATAAGCCCATGGACAATTTCGTTTGTAATGTCATTCTAGATAATATTTTCCATAAATCATCGACTGCCGCCAGAAAAAAGAAAGGCACCAATTTTAATCAATGCCCTTTGAACGTAGCGCGTTCAAACAAACAATCTCCGGATTTACCCGTCGGATTTGAATACTTTTTTTGTGTTGAATAGTGCATTTATCTAGGCTATATGATATGAAGACTTCTATATCAGCTGAGCAGAGCGGGTGAGCGGGCGGCGCACTAAAGTAGCTAAAGTAATACATAGATACATAAACTCACGCTTGTTTTCCACGGGGGTATGCAGAGAATAGTCTCTATAGGGAACGCCAATTGTTACGGTTCTTACATACCTCTTTCGCTTCATCAACAAATGAAGTTATATTTTACAAGTAATAATAAATCCAACTAAAATAAATCTTCTGTTGTTTACAGGTCTAGTCACACTGGCGGTGGCGTCGCCTTTTGACTTCGATTTCGGCTTCGGACGTAACTATGTAGAAACACCACTCGGTAAAAGCATAGATACGGCCACCTTGAAGCTGCTCAAGGTAAAATCATTTTATTGGTTCAATAAATAACATTTTTTGTCAAAAATCCTATATGTAAATGAGTCTTACGGTTAAACACTTAAAATACTTATGTTATAGCTTCAGCCGCCTTTAATACCATACCATAAGGGCACTCGGGGCCCGTGCCCAGGGCCCCAGCGACCGCAGGGGGCCCGAAGATTTCGATAATTTCTACGACGGACTCTCTCGGTACACGTTGAACGACAACCGGCTGCCGCGTAACGTATAGTGGGTTCGACTCCTGCACGGAGCAAATCTTTGTGTGATCCACAAATTGTTGTTTCGGGTCTGGGTGTCATGTGTTTGTGAACTTGTGTGTTTGTAAACGCACCCATGACACAGGAGAAAATCCTAGTGTGGTTAGCTCCGAATTATTGAGTGCTCGAGGAGCCCTAGCGTAGGCTAGACGGCCCTGAGCTTCAGACGTCCATACCTAATGTATTACATATATATTAATTTACACTGCCGTAACTTCACCTTTTATTATCTAATTTAAAGATTGATTCATTAAAGAATCTATTCTTAGACAGACCATTACCGTGTAAAGATAATATTATAATGACTTTGTATACGTTTGCAGGAAGCTTACAATGCGGCAGAGGACAAGAACGTTGTCTCATCACCCCTCAGTCTTATGATCCTGTTGTCCTTGTTCAACTCTGGTGCCGGCCCCGAGACCAAGCAAGAAATTAGTCGTTACTTGGGTGGCGCAGACTTCGAGGTTAGTAATCCAATAACCAATGGAAGCTGGAGTTTTGGGTCAGCAGATACCGCAAATGGAGAAAGAGATTTTTTGTCAATCATACCAGTTTTTGACTGCCTCAATGGCCGAATCGTCGCAAGTGTAAAGAAGTCTCGGGTTCGATTCCCGGGTCAGGCAAAGTATTACTGGGTTTTTTTAAATAATTCTCAGTAGTAGCACGGAGTTTGGAATCCCGGTATATGGCAATAGGCTCACCCCCTATTACATGGAACTCTAAACTAACATAAATAGTGAAAAGTGGGTGTTACATTGTACATTGGCGTTAAGTGCCGTAATGTGCAAATCTGCCTACCCCTTCTTCTTTGCTGTTTCCCGCAAATTTTGATATCATTCAATAAATATGTATAGGTATTAAAAATATTATAAGTATATCTTTTACTTTTTATTTTCAGTCAGCTTACAGAGATTTGAGTGTGAGGTTCGCCGACCTAAACCCGAACGCTCTGACGGTTGCCAACAAGGTGTATGTGGCTAGCAAATACAACCTGAAAGAATCCTTCGCCTTTGCTGTTCAAGGCTACCGCAGTGAGGTCGACAAGCTTGATTTCAGCAACAAAGATGCCGCTGCTGCAGCCATCAACCAATGGGTACGGTACCACACAAATGTACATCATAATTATCATCATCATCATAAAATAAATCTATGCAAATAAATTGCATATGAATGTAGGATCTATGGGTTTCAGTTAAACTAATTATAAAGTAAAATAAACTATGTGTTTCATAAAAATAACCGTCTTTTACAATATCATTAAATAGAGTAGGTAATGTCTTCACTCATCAACTGTCCGCCATCTTCTATTAATCTTAATCATACCCTGTCATTCCGTCCGTTCGGATTCATTCACACAACATCTTATATTAGTTCACCAAGTATTCAGATACACACATACAATCCCACATGCCTATACCTAAATAAACATATAATAAACATTTTTTTATTTTTGTCTCTATGCCTGTCTATCTGTTTATCCTGGCTAACGTCTGAAATGGCTGGACCGATTTTGAACGGAATTTTATTGGCAGGTAGCTGATGTAATAAAGAGTAACATAGGCTATTTTGGTTTTCGAAAATTGAAAAAAAAAAGTTATGTCATAATATTTATATTCTATGCGAACAAAGTCGCGAGTAAATAAAACATACAAAGAGATATTGTATTAATCTCACTCTTTTAAAAATCTTGTCTCCAGTAACCTTTATCTCGATGTTAACAGGCGAATGAGAAGACCAAGGGTAACATCAAGGATCCCGTCAAACCCAGTATGCTGAGCGAGGATGTGGCCGCTGCTCTCTTCAACGTTATTTATTTCAAGGTCAGTGTGTTCATCCTGACAAATCACTCAAACATTTCGAATCAAAATTTTAATTTGTCGTTTAAACTTTATCTGTAAAATACAGGTTTATGGTGTAATCTAACACATTTTCTCTTCTTCAAATTTCAGGGTCATTGGCATGTACCATTCAAAGCTGAGGACACACAAGACAAAGATTTCCATGTCAGCAAGGATCAAGTAGTAAAGAAGCCAACCATGCGTTTGACACAATCTTTGTTCTACGCTGAGAGCCCTGAACTCGGTGCTAGGGTAAGTCATACATTCACTGCCAATGCCACCAGTCCTGAAGCTAACGGAGGATTTGTCTTCAACAGTTTTCTGTTACACTCAGTCAGTGATGACTTAAAATTAGGTTATCTATACTAATATTATAAAGAGAAAAGATTTGTACCTATTTTTGTATGTTTGTATGTTTGTAATGAATAGGCACAAAAAGTACTGGGCCGGTTTAAAAATTCTTTCACTAATAGAATGCTACATTCTTCCAATTTGACATAAAATTTGAACAATGTAACCGAAGGTGTAGAAAAATGAGTCTTAAAATGTCTTTCGTCGAATGCGCTGCTAAAACTATTAGCGATAGAACAAAATAATGTGCAACAATATTGAAGAACATCATAATGTCTACAAAAAACTCCGCGGTAGCATATGTCCAACTATTGTAGTTATGTCACTACAACAATCCAAATTTCCAAAAATAAATAATTGTCATAGCATTATGTTCACCTATATAGTTATCATTTCACATGTTACCTATTTTATAATTACAGTTGGTCGAGTTGCCGTATAAAGAAACAGGATTCCGCATGGTCATAGTACTCCCGAACGAAATAGACGGTCTACCTTCAGTGCTCGAGAAAGCCTCACAAAAGGGACTCCTTGATGATGTATTCAAACTACAACCTGCTGGCAGTGATGTCGAATTGGAGTTGCCTAAGTTTGATGTGAAGACTAAACTGGACTTTAACGAACTCTTACCAAAGGTATGCTTAGATTCCGACTAAGTTATGATTTTGTATTACCTAAGTACCTATGTTTTATATTGATAAATGTCCATCAATATCTTAATAAAGCAACACTATATTTTTATTAACAGCTCGGAGTATCGAAGCTGTTTGAGGAACCTGCATTAGGTGTAGTTAAAGACCAATCTGTGGTCGTATCCAAGGCTTTCCAAGAAGCTTTCATCAAGGTTGATGAGGAAGGAGCTACCGCTGGAGCATTCACAGGTTAGTTCACATTTCTAATATATATGGTTTAAACCAGATATTAACAACATGTACTGACTGTCGGGTTTTGACTTGTTGTGAGTCTTGATTCTAGTATTTGAAAAACGAAGTCATAATTGCCCACCACAAATGATCATTTTGCAAGCTCCAATTGGGACATTATGATCAAATAATTGAAGTAAAGTGGTTATTGTTAATGTAAATCCACTTGGGGAAAACAATTGTTTGTCGCTGCATAAATAAATATAATACAACGACAATGGTATTTAAGGAGGCTAAAACTCCTTATTATCTACATAATGCATTTATAATAATGATGACTATTGGCTATGTGCGCGACGATGGCGACGCGTAGCGTTTACAACATTTGCGGAACCTGTCAAATAATAACAATGTAAACATTATAATTTTCTTTGCAAATATAAATAAAACCAAAGATTAAAATAGTATAGTTGACATTATTTAAGTGAAATTTATTCAATAGTTTTACTGTAAAATGAATATCATAATAAAAATATATCCGCATTTGTTTCCAATTTCTGTCGTGTTGTGCGCTGCGGTCGTTATCTGTCCGCCACTACTCGCTTTGTACATAGCCAATACATATAGTACATCATTTTACCTACAAACATATGCCTGTGTATATACAATTATAAGTATAAAATATATTATGCAGTGGCTTTGTGTCACTTTGTATAAATCTTAATGTCTTAAATGCCAAAGTAAACATTGCACGATTGGCACAATGACTAGACGGCTGGCTGCTACGAAACGTGTCGCGGGTTCGATTCCCGCACGGAACAACTCCTTGTGTGATCCACAAATATGTATATGAATTTCTATGTTTATAAAAGTACCCACGACGTAGAGGGCAATCTTAGTGTTACTTATTAAAACAAAAAAATAGATAAAAATCAAAAACTTATTATTATTTTCCACAGGAATGCTTATAGTGCCAATATCTTTAGATTACCACCCACCTCGTCCCATCCCGTTTAAAGTAGACCATCCATTCTTGTATTTGATCCTCTACGAAGACAATATTCTTTTCGCGGGCACATACGTTAGTCAGGTAAACATTCACAGATAAATAAAATGGATGCTTCTTATGGTGTTTGCATCCCAAGCAAATGCTTCACCAATCGAATGTTCCTCTTTAATTCGTTATAACGGGTTTATTCATAAAAACGTGCTTGGTTATATTTTCTATATTTACTTATTTATTATTGTTCGTTTCACAAATAACGTTGATTCCCCCTCCCCATTCATTATAAAGGTATTACCACTACATTATATAAATAAGTATACCTATTTAATTTCATGTTATGAAGCCCAATACATTTTTCTGTAAAACCAAAAAAATCATAAAGTCCCAAGTGTAATTTATTGTCAAGGCCCGAGTGAATAAGTTGCTTATGGGTTGACGTGCTCCATCGTAGACCATCAAATGTAAAAAACGGTCCTAGATCTGGCAACGAGGCAGTACAGTCAACTGCAGTCCGAAATAATCTCTCATGATACCTAGGTATAACAAAGGTATATGGTTATCAAATGTAAAACAACATCACGCCTATTATCCCCGAAGGGGTAGGCAGAGATGCACACAGAAGTAATACCCACTTTCCATTATTCATGTTATGAGTCCCACATAATAGGGGGTGAGCCTATTGCCATATACTGGGCACAATTCCAGACTCCGCGCTATAACTGAAATTTTTTTAAATCCAGTAATACTTTACCGACCCTGGAATCGAACCCGAGACCCCTTGCCCGGCACTTGGGACCACTCGGCCAACGAGGCAGTCAAAATCAAATGTAAACTTGCTAATAAATCTGCGAGTTGTTGAGAATCTCTTTATAGGAATGAATAAATCACGAACTGGAACTGAATAGATACTTATATTGATTACAATCCACAGGAATGATAATGGTTTTCACGTCTTCATTGTCTGAACCACCAAAGCCAATAAAGTTCATTGTTGATCGACCATTTTTGTACACAATACTATATGAAGACAAAATTCTGTTTACCGGAACTTACACCAAATAAAGAAACTGATAAAACATATGAAGGTAGATACTGCAACTGCAGTAGGTATTTAATTTAATGGCATGCAATTTGCATTTTGCATGCGCAAGACCCCGTCATACAACCATCTCCACTTACATTTACTGATAGGGTTTAAGTGCTCTCTGAATGAAATCCTAACTGTTGTCTCAGCCCTGGTCTGTCAGTCAGAGCTGCTTAGGTACTCTTGAAGCCAATCTCAATGTCAATGCAATTTCAATCCAATAAAATCTCAATATTTATTCAATGTCAAAACTATACAACAACAATCGTAGCTGTTAAAATAGCATTCAGAGTACGGAATGTAAAGCCTAACTCAATACTATTTAGTTCATTCAATATCCACCCAATACGGATGCAATGTGCTGTGTTGCATCTCAAGAGTACGAATTTTCACAATACCAATGTCGATCGATCGGAATCGGATTCAAGAGTAAGCCCTCTGATCCCTAATGCAAACTAGACAAGGGCCTGTTACAGACACCGTGAGACGCGCGTGCCCCACTGCCCGTAGTAGTTATAGTGGCACCAATTAGGAATACCTATAGGCAAGGGTAGGGCTCTCTCTAGATTTACTTCGCCTCTGCTATCACTTAATGATTATAAAAAAAAAATCGTCCGGTCGTCGTCAGTTGTAGGTTATGGCACTCCATTCTCCAACGGTAACAAAAATATCTTCACCGGTACCTGCGTGAAGAAGTTGACAATTTATTTATTTTCATACAGGAGGTTATAATGCCTTTATAATTCAAAGAAAAACTTCAACAATCGGAAAGCCTACTGCCTCTATGCCCCTACTCCTAAGCAAAGCAACAGTTATAGATATGTCCATTTATACCTAATGTTGTTGCCAGCCCCCCACTGCAAATCCAAACGAATACTACATTTCTCATAAAGAGTCTCTCGAGTTACATTCCATCAACCACCTGGATTTTGTTATTCTAGATGGGGAGGATAATAAAATTTGGTCAGGCATGAGAATGTATGTGCCCTTAAAAACTGAATTTATCTCGATCCGATTTGTATTTGCCCATTGGTTTCCTTTATTGAAGTGTACCACAAATTAATTGAAATAGCTACAAGCAATGTATTATTTTTGTTTTATCATTTGCAGCAATAATAGTAGCTGAATCACTACCTTTCCTCCCACCGCAAACAATCAAGTTTACAGTGGACCGTCCGTTTTTATATACAATTATGTATGAAGACAAAATTCTGTTTGCTGGCACATATTCAAAATGAGGTGACGATATCACAGGTTTCACACATTTTTGCTTTTAAATGCCAGATTAATGCAGCATGCCTGCATGTGATGGGTTTTCAAAAATACTGATTTTTCTTTACAAATTCTTCTATCTTTCATTATTGGTTTCCTCTCATCAGGAAAATTAATACTGTATATGAGAAATTGGATACTATTATGTGGAATAATTCATATTCATCAGAATGCAAAACAGCTTTTGTCTTCCTAATCTTTCGATTGTTTACTGGCAGACAAAACCCACTTCTATTATATTTTTAAAGCTACGATCATTTTGTTTCTAGCATCTGTTCGGTGTTTTTCAAAATGTCCACCCACCATAAACTCAAATGACAGATTGCCCACTTTTGTAGGCTCTTCGAATACTTCATGTACCTCTAAAGAATTATTGTTATTATTTGTCATTTACAGCAGTGATACTTCCATCATCATTTTGAGCTACCGTAACAGTCAAATTTACAGTGGGTCGTCCATTTTTATATGCGACCAGTTGACTCAGCAAACTACTTACCGTGGTAACTTCGTACCGCTTAAATGGTTTTCTTACCTTTTAAACTTTCCCTGGACTTCCACGAACTTTTCATTACCAAAATTAGCCTAATCGGTCCAGCCGTTCAGCCAGCGAGACTTCATTTAGACATTTGGTTGAACAGGAATTCATTTTTATTTATATAGATTTTGTATGAAGATAAAATTCTGTTTGTTAGCACCTATATAAAATGAGCGACATGAAAATGAGGCCTATGACTGGTATTTTTTGCTGCATTTCACTTGAATGCACAAAATTCAAAGCTAAACTGGCGACAGCATGTTATAGTTCTTCTTGTACCTACATACTGGCATATTTAGTTCAAAATCTTTATTCGAAATATTGAGCTTTACTTGCTCCTTATTATAGTTAGTCTTACCTAATTTAAGTATTATAAAATCTACAGTATAGGCATTCCTTACCATGAACAGTCGAGCACATTTCCTTGCCATTCTAACACTGTTAAACAAAATGTATCTAAATACCTACCTATTTCATTTTCTTATTCTTCCAATATCGAAAAAACTTCATTTATTTTCTTACGAAAATATCTACTTATATTCTTTGACAACGTAATGCACCAGGAATGCTAACAACTGCCCCTCGCCATCGACAAGGGGTTCGTCCCCCGCCTAAATCAATATGGTCGCGTATCGCATGACTTGAGAGAAATTTTCTCCCCAGGATATTCAGGTTAATGACCTTGGAATTTTCTCCCCTAACTACAAAAAGGTAAAATCAATCAAATTGTTTCGTGGTCGGGAACTTCTGATGTTACAAGTGAATGTATGTAGAAAGGCTACGGCAATTGTTTACTGTCTGACAGACTGCAAGCTTTCAACTCAACTGAATAATGTAACAAGTGAAACAAGTGAATTAATTTCTGCAAATAGGCTACAAGGCAGCACTTTTACACGTCAATTCCTAACTGACTACTCTGAGAAGAAATGCCGAAACAAACTCAGAGGTCTGTCCCTTTCAAAGTCCAGACAATATTATGTACCTAGATTATTGTTACCTTAATAATGTACCTAGCTAGAGACCCTACAACTGTAGGTCATCTAACTTCCACCTGTCACATAGTAGACTAGTTCTACCAAAATTAGCTAAACTTCGTACCGTATCCATTTTTTTATCCTTTGAAACCTTCCCTAGGCTTCCACCAAAACTATCCAAATCGGTTCAACCGTTCTCAAGTGTTAGCAAGACTAACGATCAGAAATTCATATTTATTTATATAGATTCTCTTCAACATCTTTGACTATTTTTATTTTACAGCGATGATATTTGAAGACAGAGTAATGATATTCTCACCGCGACCAGTAAAATTTACCGTGGACCATCCATTTTTATATGCGATTTTGTATGAAGATAAAATTCTGTTTGCTGGCACCTATACAAAATGAGGTTACTATAACATAACACGATTCCTTCATTTTTTGCTTTATTGCAATTATTATATCCATTTTCGAACTGAATGCAGCATGTTATGGTTTTTGTGCGCCTAACAATTTCTTTAATGACCTATTCAATCATACACATATAATTATGTAGGTACCTACATCATCTGAAGCCTTAGTACGAGTATTTTTTTAGTTTAAAGTAATCGTAACGAATACGCGTTCGGCGCTCTGATTGGTTGGTTCATTGGCGCTGGCCAATCAGTGCGCCGAACGCGTACTCGTTTCGAATACTGTAAACGTAAAACAAACTCGTATTGTACTGAGGGCTTAATACGAGTTTCTTTTTCGTTTAAAGTACCTACCTAATCGAGACGAAACCTCGTCGGGCGCTCTGATTCGTTGGTTTATTGACGCCGGCCAATCAGAGCGCCGAACGCGTACTCGTTTCATATACTTTAAACGTGAAATAAACTCGTACTAAGGCCTCTGTTTATTTATTACTAACGCCTTCCGAGGAAGCAAACGGACAGCTGGTGCATACCATGTCTGCTACATTATCTCTTATAGTTTTTTTCATTACTGAAGAGTATGGAGACCCTAAATAGGTGGCTAAGTAAACTTTATTATTGAAGGGGGAATCAAATAATGATATCAACTTTCTACAATCTTTCAGGGTCATACAAAAAATTACCACCACATATTTCGAAAAAATCCATATTTTTTAAGAAAACTTCTATAGGCAAATGATTTAACCCATCGTTTGTCTAAGCGTCGTGTGTAATGTAATGTCCTGGTGGCCCGGAGGTTTAAG